GGGGAATCACTTTTGTTGCCAGCAGTTTAAACATTAATGGCGGTGTGTTGAGTTATTTTGAGGGGACAGCAAATGTTATACAAGCTGTACACTGACTACGTCACATTGTAGCAAAGTGTCATTTCTTCAGTGTTGTCACATGAAAAGGTATAATACAGTATTTACAAAAATGTGAGGGGTGGACTCACTTCTCTGGGATACTGTAAATACCACAAAGGGGCCAACTTTCCCTGCAGTTGACCAGGGCTATATCCATATTCATGCTATTCGTTTGCCTAGCCCCAACCTATGTTCTGGAAGGCTCTCATAGCTTCCTGAAGGCGGGCAGAACTCAGAAAAACTCCAACACCACCAGAGCCTCATGAGAAGAATTGATTATCAATCACAGCACTCTGTTATGCAGAATACCACACTGAATTTACCTGACAGCCTCTCTGGTAAGCAGAGAAACACAGCTATGCTTATCCTAACTATACCAATCCTAACACCTGACTAGGAGGATGCTATATTTGTAGAGCCCAATCGGGGTGAAACTCATCGGAGGGAGTAGTCTAGGGCGCTTAAACCAACTGCTTTGATTAAACTTTATGGATGTGTGGCTTTGTTCTTTGTTTTTGCCAGTTATTTAATTTCAAGTGAATATTCACACAATAGAAAAATGTTAACTGCTTTAAATCATCCACACAGGGAGTGCATTGTTTTCAGCAAGTCAGCCTACTCGTAGACTTGCATTGTCAGTAAAGCACAACCAATGTGTAGCATATTCAGATATATCAACAAATCTTACATAATACATTTTTTCACATCAACATACATTGGTAAAATTATTTACATAAAGATACTTTGCATTATTTAAAACAAATTGAAAGGACTGTACCTTCTCTTTAAACACACTCTTGTACCAAATGGGCACTGTACAAAATTAACGGGTTGCCTAGTTTGCTATAGAAGAACGTCTCTAGTTCTGACACTCTCCATGTATGTAACATATCCCCCAACTTTCTAAGAAAGGAACAAGGGACACCTATTAGCAAAAGTATGTAGCCATAGGACACACACCCTGCCACACCCTCCGTTAAAGGAGAATTTTACAACAAAAAAAGATTGCTTAAACCCTCAAGTGTCTATTTTTTACCACTACTATTCTCTTACATTAGCTTTTGAAATTTAGCACTGCAAAATGTTTTTTAATTATTATTATTATTATTATTATACAGGATTTATATAGCGTCAACAGTTTGCTTAGCACTTTACAATATAACGGGAGACAATACAGCAACAATACAGTTCAATACAAGAGGGAAAGGAGGGCCCTGCTCCTTGGAGCTTACAATCTAAGAGGGAGGGGCTACTGGTACAAAAGGTAGTAACTGTGGGGTATGGACTGGTAGAAGGAGTAGAAGATTCCATTGTTAGCTGAGGGCAGGATAGGCTTCCCTGAAGAGATAGGTTTTCAGAGATCGCTTAAAAGAGAGCAGAGTAGGCAATAGTCTGATAAATTGGGGTAGAAAGTTCCAGAGGATTGGGGAAGCTCTGGAGAAGTCCTGGAGACGAGCATGAGAGAAGGAAACAAATGAGCTAGAGAGCAGGAGGTTGTGCAAGGAGCGGAGAGTACGATTTAAGTGACATTTGGAGACAAGATCGGTGATGTAATTTGGGGCAGAATTATAAATGGCTTTATATGTTATTGTTAATGTTTTGAATTTTATCTGTTGGGCAACGGGAAGCCAGTGGAGGGATTGGCAGAGAGGGGTGGCAGATACGGAATGGTTAGTATAGATAAATAGTGTGTTTCCTATAGATCTATATAGAACAGACCAAAATGAGGGACAAATGAGGAGGAAGGAGGGATAGAGGGACTTTGTTCCAAATGAGGGACAGTCCCTCGAAATCAGGGACAATTGGGAGCTATGATATAATCACCCACATCAACATTACCAGCCAGGCTTCATCTTTCAGAAAATAGGCAAGGAATCTGACTGGTCAATCTGATCATTAATTGTAGAGAATTGTTTTTATACACATGTCTCTGTTATCTTCTTTTCGCTGCTTAGTCTTTTAAAGAGGGTAAAGTGGGCAGAACTGCAAATGGAATGTTTCTAAATTAAACTGCAGACACCTACGCACAGGATGTAGTCTCTCTGACCACACACATTTGCCCAGCCATATTAACATACTCCAGAGGTCAGTGTTAACACTTTAAATGTCATAGCGTGTTCTAAAAGGTTAGAGTGGCAAACCTCAGCTGAGATCAAATACTGGCAGGGGAAGTTGTATTTTTAAAGAGATTTTATTTAGTTTTATCAATTTTTTGTAGATATACACTTTAGTTAGACATTTTACAAATAATGTAACTTGTCCTGCATGGTCAAAGCACAGATTTAAACATGAATTCCGACAATTCCGGCAATTTTTACATAGTTACATTGAATCAATGCTTGGACCAATGTAAATATCAATGTGCCATACCTGCGGGAACCTCATGGAAGTGTCCAAGCATCTACACTGCTGCACACTGAACAAAGAAGGTTGCTCACTTTATACAGATGCCATTCTGAGAACCCTTTCCATTTTTTTAATAAATGCAAAGTATTCTTTGATTGGATGAGGTGGAGATTGTGACATCGCTTCGCCTCGTCTCTACACCTTGTCCAGAGAACGCTTTACATTCATTGAGAAACTTGAGCTGTGTCTACTACAGTGATTTCCAGCTTCCACAGGGATCACATGGGTATGGAATATATACATACTGTACATACTGTACTTTCATCAGTCCAAGCTGAACCAATGTAATTACGTAAAAATATCAATACCTGGAATTTATCTTTAAAAATCAATATGCTTGGAAGACAATTCTACACAATTAGTGCTTAATGGTAATAGGTGTGCATGTGTTAAGGTTGCTATAAAGCTACCAAGTAGTACTTGTTTTAACACTGGCATTTCTAAAATACTTGTACTTTAATAATGTTGAGAACCAGTACCACATACAACACTTGTTGAGTTGGGATGAGAGAACAGTTCGTCTGATTTTTTGATTAGGTAGATGAGCTTATACTCAAAAATTCTCAGTGTTTCCTGACCTACCAGGAAAAAAAAATGTTGCTCCCTCTTCCCTCCATGGAGTTAACTGGAGGGATCATCATAGCCTTCAACCTCATGTCCACAACATGGGTCTTCAGCCTCGTGTCCACAACATGGGTCTTCAGCCTCGTGTCTACAACATGGGTCTTCAGCCTCGTGTCCACAACATTGGTCTCCAACCTCCTGCCCACAACATGAGTCTTCAGCCTCGTGTCCACAACATGGGTCTACAGCCTTGTGTCTACAGCATGGGCCTTCAGCCTCGTGTGTACAACATGGGTCTTCTGCCTCGTGTCCACAACATGGGTCTTCTGCCTCATGTCCACAACATGGGCCTTCTGCCCAATGTCCACAACATGGGTCTTCTGCCTAATGTCCACAACATGGGTCTTCAGCCTCATGTCCAGAACATGGGTCTTCTGCCCCATGTCCAGGACATGACCTTCTGCCGTTACTCTGACCTACAGTTGGAAAATAAGTAAATCAATTGGTATTTAGGTACACACACATAATGTTTAAGTATTTTCTGCCCACTGCTGTGGTGGCAGTTAATCACTGGAATATCTGACCAACTTGAACAGATTCAAATGTCAGACTAATTGGAAAAAAATATTTTAAAAAAATAGTCATCTTGAAGTGTTAGTAAAGGCTAACTCTAACTATTTCTAAAAACATTCCTTCTGTGTACTTCCCTTTTTGTAATCTGGTCTGGTCATGTGATTTAGCAGCTCTGGATCTCCTGTGCAAGGGGTCATTCAACAATGGCTGTGAATTTTCTGCAACCCATAGACTCCAATGGCCAATCCTTTGTTGATGCTCCCTCCTGTCCCTACAGCAGCCATTCACTTCCAATATATGTGAATCCTTACCTGTTAAAGCAACCCATTCAGTTTACAATAGAAATGCAAAAACATTTAAATATACTGTACATACAGTCTTAAAAAATTATATATTTTTTGTTTTTTCATTTTACATGACTTTTTCTGATTACATGACTTCTGATTTCATCTACATAAGGAGCTTAGAGAGGTGGGAGAGGAAACTGTTTGGGGGGGGGGGCGTGTCAGCAGGAGGCAGAGAAACAGCAGTACACTCATCTTCCCAGTGAAAATCTCTGCAGAGGGGTGTGTCAGCACAAGTATGACCATTGGAGGACAGGCAGGCTCTTCTCCCAGCACATCCAGAAAACTAAACATACTGGGCTGGATGTGTTTTTTATGTCTAGTGTGAGTAGGTTGAAACAGGAGAACAGAGGGCTGGCAATATCACCAGAGGTTTCACACAAAAGAAGCAAATCAAAGAGAACAGGATACTTTTTTTTAACCACTTCAAGTCCGGACACTTTCACCCCGTTTCTGTCTAGGCCCATTTTCAGCTTTCAGCGCTATCACACTTTGAATGACAATTGCGCGCGGTCATGCAACACTGTACCCATATGAATTTTTTAGCATTTTTTTTAGTCAGATAAAGCTTTATTTTGGTGGTATTTATTCACCACTGGGATTTTTTTTTTTTTTGCTATATAAATGAAAAGTCCAAAAATTTAGAAAAAAAAGTGTTTTTCTTCTAAAATTTTGCAAATAAATAATATTTAATCATAAATCTTGGCCAAAATTTATTCTGTTATCTTTTTAGTAAAAAAAATAAAATAACCCAAATTAGTTTGTAACCAAAAATTATAATTTTTAAACTTTTTTTATTATTTTTTTATATTTTTTTTTTTTACATACCGTCACTCTAGCAGTACAGTGTCACCATGGTGACACTGTACTACTTGTGGGGGGTGATGAAGATTTTTTTTTTTTTTACACTGATTGCTATTACACCCATAAAGGATGTAAAAGCAATCATTTCTCCTTCTCTCTAGCTGCATTCTTGCAACCATTGGGAACTACTGTGTGAGCTGTGATTGGTCACAGCTTGTCACATGGTACAAGGCTGTTGTGAATAGCCTTGTACCATGTGACCTCTGTGATCATTCACAGATTTCACACGTAGTAAGCAATGATGTCACAAGTGACATCTTGCTTACTACTCTGCATGTGATCACTGATTGGCCAATGAGTGATCACATGATCGGGACCTCGCACAGAGGTCCCGTCCGATGATCCGTGTTCCACTGTGTCCGGAGGACACAGCGGGCACTGGATCGCGGTGCTGCGCACTTCCGGGGAGCGTGCACAGCTAGAAAATGTGGGTGCCGTTTATGAACGGCAACCCGCCCCTGGAGTGCCACCGTCCTGCCGTTTATAAATAGCAGGCGGACGCCAAGTGGTTAACACAAGCACATGGTACAGCAGACACATATCAGGAATCTGAAATGTCAGGGTAGCAAACACTTTTAGAATAGTTAGATTTAGCTTTATCCTCCTGTTTAATAGTTTGGTAGTGTAAACTTTGGATTATAATCTATTTATGTATCTTGCCCAAAATTCCTTATAACAATTCCAACTGTTTAAATAAAATATATTCACAGTTATAAGTTGATTCTGTGTCCTTGTGTATTTTTTTTGCCTATGTATCATTATACATCAGGATAATAAAAGATAACATACAGTATTGGCTTATATTTTTCAGGACAGAAACTGAATGTCTCCAGAAGCAGAGACTTTAAGGCTCAGGTATGTTCACAATCACTGCTAAATATGATTGAATAATAAGAATATTACTCCTACTCTGTGTCTGTATGATATTAGGTCATTTTGCTTTACTGGGGGAATCAAAAACAGTGCTGAAAGATAACGTTAGTTTTCACCACTGATAATCATGTCACTGTGAGGAGAAGAAAAGGTACCATAATTGCTGAATTGAAGTACATGGTGCGTAATGGCTAATTTGTGCATAGAAAATAAACAGAAAACAGGATTCTCATTCTTCTTCAGGATAGATGATCACTCATTCATTGTCAATAAAAATAAAATATGTAATTCCTCATCAAATATGGCTCAGTAAAGGGGATTCAAATGGCTGAATACGCGGTTTTTAGTGTTATCTGTCAGTCTACATTCCTTCCCGGAACTGTACTGACAGAGTGTTTAGGAGTCCTAGAAGAAACAGGAAATTATTTGTAAAAATTTACATGGCATAACCATACAGCATATACTGCATTTTGCTGCAGAGCAATGAATAGAAGAGAAGCTAAGAATGAACAGGCAGTATGTTCAGAGATGCCAGAGCAGCTTTGTCACTGTCTTCTAGAGCAGGGGTCTCTGAAGTTTTCATTATGATGACCACTTTTTATGTGTTTCAGATATTCACAGGCTGAAAAAATAAGTTTTATAAATGAATGAATGAAATTTAAATGAATGTTTAAACATGCTCAAAGAAATGACGTCTCTTCAGAATTCCCCTCTTTCACATCATAGTTTCCCCTTCACATCAGAGCCCCCATTACACATCAGAAGCCCCCTTTCACAACATAGTCCCTCATTCACATTAGAAGTCTCCTCTTTCACACCATAGTTCCCTCTTCACACAAGAAGCCCCCCTCATTCGCATCAGAGCCCTCCTTACACCTCATAGCCCCCCTTAAAATAAGAAGACCCCTTCACATCATAGTGCCCCCTTCACATCAGAAGCTCCCCTTCACACCTTAGTTCCCCCTTCACATCAGAGGCCCCATTACATATCAGAAGCCCTTCTTCACATCATAGTTCCCCCATCACATTAGAGCGCCCATTACACATCAGAAGCCCCCTTTCACAATATAATCCCCCTTTCACATCAGAAGTCCTCCCTTTCACACCATAGTCCCCTCAGCACATAAGAAGCCCCCCTTAAGATCATAGTCCCCTCTTCAAATAAGAAGTCCCCTTCACATCATAGTCCCCCCCGCACATCATAGCCCCCCCCCTCATATCAGACGTCCCCCCTTACACATCAGAAATCCCCCCTTACACATCATAGTCTCCCTTTTACATAAGAAGCCCTCCTTAACATCAGAGCCTCTCTTACACTTTAGAAACCCATACTACACAACAGAAGCTGCCCCCCCACACCAAAGCCCATCTTCTACACATTCAAGTATCCCTTTCACATCAGAGGCCTCAGGACCCTTGTCCTACCCTACAATCTTCACAGTGGCAGAGTGACACAGGGTAGGAGGTGGAGCAGGTCTAGACAGAGGGCAGGTCCTCTTCTGAATGCTGAGGTGGCCCTGGATGCTGCTGCCCTGAATTAACATCATGTGTTTCCATGGTGCAGTTAGGCCAGCTGTCAGCACCATAGCAATGAATGACACCATGGGGTAGCTTTACTAAAACCGGAGAGTGCAAACTCTGGTGCAACTCTTCATAGAAACCAATCAGCTTCCAGATTTGATTGCCAAAGCTTAATTAAACAAGCTGAAATTAGAAGCTGATTGGCTACCATGCACAGCTGCATCAGATTTTGCACTCTTCAGTTTTAGTAAATGTACCCCCCGTGTCCTGGTTGCTCTGTGTCTTTAGTTGTCATGATGCTGGTGGCTGGCCCATGTGCAGCATGGAAACATACAACACAAATACAGAATAAGCAATTGAAGGATGGCAAAACCTTGTAGCAGGTCAGATATGGCCCATGGGCTGTAGTTTGGAGACCCTTGGTCTAGCGAATTGTGTAAATAGTATAAATGAATGAAGCTTCCACTTCTAGCATAGCTCTTTAAGGGTAATTTCATATTTTCTATAGACGATCTACAAGCTAATCCAACAATATTGGTATTTATATACAAATTCTTACATGTTATGGACTTCACTTTGAACTTTGTAAATCGTACATTCTTTGCTACTGTAACTGAAAATAATATGGTTGGGTTAAAAGGAAATCATTGGTTGGGCTCATAGTTCATCAGAGAACTATATTCAAGTGTAGGCTAACGCTCAACGTAGACTCTATTTGGGGTCTGTATATTGATACAGGCTACCCCGAGAACTCCTTATATGTGTTTTTTTCATATTTTGACTACATGATCACCTTCAAGTATTGCTTTTTTTTGCATTGGGTGGGCTCATAGTTCATCAGGGAACTATATTCAAGTGAAGGCTAACGCTCAACATAGACTCTATTTTGGGTCTGTATATTGATACAATCTACCCCGAGAAATCCTTATATGTGTTTTTTTCATATTTTGACTGCATGATCACCTTAATGCATTGCTTTTGTTTGCTTTGTGTAGGGTGAAATTGTTTATAGAGAACTAAATCTTCACATGCTTAGTGTCAACCAAGAGTAAGAACACCCAACAGTTTCCAAGAACTTCTGCCGGGAACATAAGGGTCCAAGATTTACTCTCTATGGATTTGAAACAAAAGGAACTGGAAGCTTACTTGTACCATTATTTTATTTTTAATTTATTTTATTGTTTGTTTTCTACATTGTAAGAAATGTATTATTGTCAATGCACAGATTAAAAGAATATGAATGCTTAATCAACAATAAAGATCTCCTGTAAGTTTGGAAGCTGGTTGCAAATAAGAGACTTATAAGAATTGTATACAGTATAACAATTTTTCTTATACACAGAGACATCATTACAAGGACAGTTGTTGGAAGACACTTCTACATTGCTAGGCAAATAAAATTTTTATGGACAGAGTTTAAAACTAAATCCATGTTAGAGAGATGATATGTATAATACAAAGTATAGCTACTGTCTGATCACCAAGTCTATTTTCTATTATTCTTCAAAAACTCTTACCCAGGACCATCATCAGCCATGTTTTCTTCAAACCTCCTGGTTTCCTTTATCCTCACTGCCTCCTTTCTCTTCCGCTGCTTATACTTTTGCAGTCACTTGAGGGGTGAACTGACCATTTGGAAACTCAGGCACTGCTCGAGGGCCCGGGGTCAGTAGGGGGCCCCATGAGATGCCCCTGGTACCTTTTTTATAGGCTTTTTTGAGTTTGGGCAAGGACACAGGGGCCCCATGATCCCCTGTTGCCCGGGGACCCCATGAGTTGTCAGTCCACCCCTGAGTCACCCTATATTTGTTAGAACTTCCCATTAACACAACATACCTTAATAAAAAAATAAAATTAGAAATAAAAATAATTTCTTACCTTTAGATGTTTCTGAGAAGGTGTCATGGAACACCAAGAAGAGGAGGAGCCAGGAGCACCGGAGGGGGAACCCAGAGGAAGAGGATCACGCTGCTCCGTGCAAAACCACTGCACAGAGCAGGTACGTATGACATGTTGGTTATTTTTAAAAATAAGAAAAATCAAGGTTTACAATCACTCAAAAAGGTAACCATCAATATTTTTTTTTTTTCTAAAAGGTAACTCCACTTTTGTGGGAAAAATATTAGCAAATAAAAAAAAAATAATATAGCATATACAGTTGTGACACAAGTCATATTGTAATTGAATGTTATTAACCACCTCCCGTCCGGCCATTGTATATAAATGGCCAGACGGTGGCAGTGCAGGGTCGGGTGGCTGTTTATAAATGGCCTCCCCGCACCCTGTTTGTGTGCGCTCCCTGGGAGCGTGCAGCACCGCGATCCGGAGCCCTCTGTGTCCTCCAGACACAGTGGAACACCGATCGTCGGACGGGACCTCTGTGCGAGGTCCCGATCACATGCACAGTAGTAAGCAAGATGTCATTTGTGACATCATTGCTTACTACGTGTGAAATCTGTGAATGATCACAGAGGTCACATGGTACAAGGCTATTCACAACAGCCTTGTACCATGTGACAAGCTGTGACCAATCACAGCTCACTCAGTATTTCTCAATGGCTGCAAGAATGCAGCCAGAGAGAAGGAGAAATGATTGCTTTTACAGTCTTTATGGGTGTAACAGCAATCAGTGTAAAAAAAAAAAAAAAAAAATCTTCTTCACCCCCCACAAGTAGTACAGTGGCACCATGGTGAAACTGTACTGCTAGGGTGACAGTATGTAAAAAATAAATAAATAAATAATATAAAAAAAAAATGTAAAAATTTTTTTTAAAAATTATAATTTTGGTTACAAACTAATTTGGGTTATTTTTTTTTTTTTTTTACTAAAAAGATAACGGAATAAATTTTGGCCAAGATTTATGATGACATATTATTTATTTGCAAAATTTCATAAGAAAAACACTTTTTTTCAAAATTTTTGGACTTTTTCATTTACATAGCAAAACAAATAAAAATCCCAGTGGTGAATAAATACCACCAAAATAAAGCTTTATCTGTCTCAAAAAAAAACTGAAAAAATTCATATGGGTACAGTGTTGCATGACTGTGCAATTGTCATTCAAAGTGTGACAGCACTGAAAGCTGTCAATTGGCCTGGACAGGAAGGGGGGTGAAAGTGTCCGGACTGGAAGTGGTTAAAAATGACCTTTCCTTTTCAATCTGCAGTGCTGTCATTTTCTGTAAAATGCAATGCAAATGTACACCAAAGATTATGTACAGAATGCACCCTCAGAAATGTCATTTTCTGCTTGTGTGATTGGCTTACTGATTTTCCCAGAAGTCTGCAATAAGATACAAATCGGAATTTCAGCATCCCCTGCAACAAAAATGTCATTTTTTGGTGAGATACTCACAAAAAGGAAATCACGTGTAAAGGGATGCAGACCCTGCCATTTTGCTCATTAGAGCCCTGCAGGTACAGGACTGATAATTATAAAATCACTCCCGTACACAGTCACTCTGCCCATGGACACAAACAAATAGCTATTTCTTGAGAATAACATAAGAGGAATCTGCAACAAAGTTTGTTAAAATCCTTGCAATGGAGATAGATAATCCAGTGTTTTTTTCTCAACAAAAGTGGAGTTATTCTTTAATATGTCAACGTGAACATGCAAAATATAAAGAAGCTGGTATTACAATTTGGCTGCAAAAGTGGAAATACACTTTAGTCCCCCTTTCCATTGTCAAATGTCACTCCCATGTGAAAGAACCTGATCACCATATCAAACTACTTCTTCGATGATTGCTGGTTTCAAAGCACAATTAAGAGCAACAATAAAGGGCTTCCAGTTGGTACCAAGTTTCCCCTCCTGCATGTAGGCAGGTGCAATTTGCCTGCCTGCCAGTAGGTGGCTCTGTTGTCATTATGGCATGGTAAAGGGAAGATCATAAGCAGGTGTTAGCTTCCCTTTTAGATATAGTGTCCCTATAAATGCTAGCTATGGGTGGGGCCCGAGTAAAATGGGGTATAGGAGCAGTTCACCCCTGTACAGCACCATGTAACAGCTATGGAGAGAGTGGAGGTGCCCAGCTTGGTAGTGTAACAGATGAACATTTTTTCAGAAGCAAGTGTAGTCACCTTGCCACCCCTGATCCTCAGCTTTGGGTTTGTGGCTTGGTGCATAGAGGCCTTGTGGCCTGCAACTGAGGAGCTATGTAGTGAGCTCAACATTGTGAGAGGATTATTATAGAACATAGGAAGATGGCTAACCTGATAAATAGTGTTCTGCACTGATGTGAATGCAATGTTAAGAAGTCACTTGTAAATTGCTGGTGCTCTGCACTAAAGACTCTGTCAGTGATTCTGTGAAGATGTGATGCTCTGCTGAAGATTTATGTGAGAAGAGCTGCAGTAAAGTGTTGAAATTCACCTAAGAGTGGATATTCCTTTATTGTGAAGACTAAGGCCTCTGGCCAGGAATGTACTGAGCATGCCTGTGGCTGGGAGAAATGTGCCTAAGATAATGGACCCAAAGACAGGTATGTGGGGTCTCTCCCCAAGAAAAAGCAGGGCAGGACTTGAGACAGCATGGCACCAATTGCTGTCCACTCCAGGTCCCCTACAAGCATGTGTAGATCAATCATACTATTCCTCAACAGGCAATTCTTTGAATAAAATCTTAATTTATTCACATAAAAGTGAGAATCCTCCCAAAAAAATACAGAAGATATGAACTGACTCTCACCTAGGTGACTGTGATCAAAGAAGTATTCCTATATACTAATTTCCTTGTAGTCTATGAAACCAAATGGCCTGAAGGAGAAGATATATATATATATATATATATATATATATATATATATATATTGATTTGCTGTATTTATCCCTACTGGGGACAGGGAGTAATGAGAAAACTCTCTCAATGGGGAGACAGGGAAAATCGAAAAAATACATTTTTAGTAGAGCGAGAAAAGGTTAGAAATTCTGACATTATTTGTAGTGCTGCCAATGACCAACCATATTCCACATTTATTGTACTGGCATCACGGGGACAAAAGAAGACCTTTCCAATGGAGTCATAGATGAAAAAAATAGAGAAAAGGCAGAAATGTAAACTCTTCACTACTCTTTTCAAAACGTAAAAAAAAAAAAAATGATACGGCTATAGTTAGGCTTCAAATGCAACTTTTTCCACTTAGCACATGTAATCTTCCTCCAGTCTGTATTTCATCTGCACAGGTACCTCCAGATAAAACTACAATGACCTTAAAATGGTAGTAAAGATTCAAGGTTTTTTACCTTCATGCATTCTATGGATGAAGGTAAAAAGCCTTCTCTGTACAGTATCTTTCTCAGCCTCCCCGTAATACTCACCTAAGCCTCCTCTCGATCCAGCGATGTGCACTGGAGTCTCAGTTACCCCAGGACTCCCTCTCCTCATTGGTTCTGGCTGCTTTCAATCACAGTCAGTGAGCCAATAAGAATAGAGAGAGGGTGGGGCCAAGTCACTGCTCCGTGTGTGAATGGACACACAGAGTAGTGGCTGGGGAGTGTGCATGCTCGGGTGTCCCCATAGCAAGCTGCTTGCTATGGGGGAACCCAAAAGGAGGGAGGACCCAAGAAGAGGAGGATCCGGGCTGCTCTGTGCAAAACCACTGCACACAGAAGGTAAGTAAACACATGTTTGTTATTTACAAACAAAATATAAACCTTTAGAATTACTTTAGCAAAGGGGGTTATTTAGAAAGAAGGAGAACAGAGAACAGTTATTTAGAAAGATCTTGAACACTGGAATTCATAGTTATGGACTGTGGGAGAGGATGGACGTTGGCGTTTTCAATGTAAGATTGTAAATAAATTGTGAATGCTTTTATATATACTTCACTGAGTTGTGTACTATCTGCCCCCCTGTTTGAGGAACTGGGAAGAAGGATTGGGAGAAAATAGAAGCCTCTGAAGAGGATAAAACTCTGGACTGTTTGGAAGGAATTTTGCTTGGTCTGCATTGCAAGAGGGTAATAGTTTTTATTCTCACAAGAGAGATGACACTATATATATATTTTTTTAGAGGATAATGGTACTAGCCCATTTGGATGGTAACACTAGTGTGGAGTGCTGCACTTTATCACCTTTTGGAGTGTTGTTTACCACGGGTGATAGCCCTGGAGGAATCACTTTTAGTCTTCACGAGTGTTTTTTTCCTTATTGTAATGATAATACACTATATTGAGTTTTATTTTTTCTGAGGTATTCTGAATTTGAGGTCCTGGATTGGAATTCGGCAAAGGGGAGACTGTTTCTTAAAACGTCTGAAAAACACTAATTATTGGAAAGATTTTATTTTGATTCTATATATTTTGGACTTATATGTGAACATTTTTTGATTTGGGTGTTTATTTTATTTTATTTTATATTTTTTTGATTCTATATATTTTGGACTTATATGTGAACATTTTTTTGATTTGGGTGTTTATTTTTTACTAGTGGGTGCGAGGGAGCATTGAAAAGATACTATTTATATTTTATTTAGAAAGAAATTGGTCACCCATAATGATTAATTGAATTTTTTTGCTTCATTCTGGAAGTTTGCAGTGATACTCTTTATTGGGTAACTTAAAGAGGAGCTTCAGGGATATGGGAGAAAAGAAAATAAATAAATAAATAAATAAATAAATATCATGTCAGAGGACAAATGGAAGAAGCATAGGCTGAGAGAATTCAATCCCCCAACAGGTTTCCAAGAGTGTTTTGCCTTCATCAGAATAAAGAAATTGATTCCAGTAGAACTATGTTTTCGTATATTGCTCCCACCTATTTTGGACAGTGGGGACCAAATCCTCCACAATGTTAATGTCTTCAACCTTGTTAAACCACATTGAAATGGAAGGAGGATTTTGATCTTTTCATTTTAGAGAAAATGCAAGATTGGGCAGTGTTAGATAAGTGGTGAAGGACTAATTTTCTGTAGGTCTTTACAGGGAAGTGAGAACAGTGGAGGAGAAGGAAGGCAGGGTCATCTGGGACTGGGATAAATAGTTGAGTGATTCTGCAAACTTCCCTCCAATAATAATCCAGTTTCATGCAGGACCAGAAAATATGTAGTAGCGTCCCTCGTTCCTCCTGGCATCTTCAGCACCTATCTGAAGCCTCAGAGAAGAAACGGCACAGAACTGATGGGGTGCGATAGCATCATGTGAAGAGCTTGTAATTAGTCTCTTGTATGCGGGTACAAATAGAGGACTTCAGAGTAAATTGGATTATATCCCGGCATTGGTCGGGTGTGAAGGTGCTATTATGATCCTGTTCCCATTTGTCTCAGCAGGGTAGTTTAACGTTTTCTGTGGGGGAGATCAACAGAGAGTACATTTTTTAGAGGGTTTGGGTAAGAACGCCACTGTTTGAGCAATAGTATTCAAACATCAGCAGCAGACAGACAAATCGCATGGGGGGACCAAGAGTGCAAAGAAAATGGTGTGTGTTTTCAGCGCTCTCCCAAAACTTTAGGGCAAAAGGGCCTGCCGGATGTATCAATGTTGAGATCGAAGGCCAAGTACCCAAAGAGAGAAAGTGAGAGGCTTGGAAGGAATCTTTTTTCTATGACTTCACGAAACAGGCTCTCGTCTAGTCCTGTTGGGAAGCTGGGATTGCCCAGGATAGGAAATAATGGGGATTGGCTGGAAGATATGCTGGTTTA